ACTCAGAAAATGAAGAAGAAGAAAAAATGGCTCTTCAACAATCAGGTTCAAATTTGAAACAGAGATGAAGGGGAATTTTCAATTTCTGTAAGATTATTTTAGGGGTTTGCTTATTTATATAAGACTGAGGGATGGGCGACTGAATCAGGCTTAAAGTTCAGCTGAATCCAGGTTTAATCTCTTGGTTCCACTTCTGACAGATTTAAATGTCTTTCTCTTGCATTCAGATAAAACTCAAGTCAGATTTTTGAAGTAAAAATGTTAAAGCCTTTCGTGAACAATGTGACCGATCACAACAAAACAATGCACGACAAAAGAGGTCTCTGGTTCCAAACTGGAAACCATTCTGCACCATTTTTACAGCGAAAAATGTTATAGATGGATAAAACTCATAATCTCAGCAATCTAAAGAAAGATGCAACAATTCACAGGAAGGTGGGATCTCACGGGACGAGTGTCTCCAGAATGTCTTGAGATCTTTGTGTTGGTTCTGAACACAAAGGTGCTCCATCCTGTCGCTTATGGTTTAGCATCTTAAAAAGTTTGTGAGGTAAATTTTATCCCCAAATAATCTCAAAGTCATCGTACGTGGACATCATCAACTCATCTCAGAAGTACCAGAGCTGTAGTTTGACTCCTGCCCAGGTCTCCTCTGACAGGAAACACCTGAGACGACCATCCAGGCAGATGGTAAGTATTGTTATATATGTTAATTCAATTCAATTAAGTTTATTTATATAGCCCCAAGTCACAACAGAAGTCATCTCAGGGAACTGAACAGAAACATTCATATATAAAAATAATAATTTAACATTATTTATATGAGGAGCAGACTGCTTTGAATTTAACTCCAGAACTCTCATCTTGAGCAAGCATGAAGGTGACAGTGGAAAGGAAAAACTCCCTCATGAGGAAGAAACCTTTAGCAGAACCAGGCTCAGGACAAGAGGCCATCTGCTTCGACCGGCTGGGTTTGGTAGGAATAGATACACAGGTCAAGCGCAGGTCAAGAATCACGTTAAGACAGAAATTGTATCAAATGAAAACTATTCCATTTTAGCAAATAATTTAAGGAAACGAGGTCTATTTGTCCTCCAGTAGACTAAGCCTATAGCAGCATAACAAGCCAACCCTAACTATAGGATTTATCAAAAAGGAAATTCTTAAGCCCAGTCTTAAAACTGGACAATGTGTCAGCCTCATAGACAGAAACTGGAAGTTGGTTCCACAAGAGAGGAGCCTGATAACTGAAAGATCTTCCTCCCATTCTGCTCTTGGAAACTCTAGGAACGGCGAGTAAGCCTGCAGTCTGAGAGTGAAGTGCTCCATTAGGAAAATTTGGAACAATGTCTCTAATATAAGATGGAGCTAGGCTGTTGAGAGCTTTGTAGGCTAGAAGTAAGATTTTGAATTCAATTCTGGACTTGACAGGGAACCAATGCAGAGAAGCTAAAACTGGAGAGAGATGATCTCTCCCACTAACTCCAGTTAAGACTCTGGCAGCAGCATTTTGGATCAACTGAAGACAATTTAAAGAAGTATTTGGACACCCAGATAATAAACCATTGCAATAGTCCAGTCTAGATGTTACAAATGCATGAACCAGTTTTTCTGCATAATTTTTAGATGTTTCTAATTTTAGCGATATCACGCAGGTGGAAGAAGGCGGTTCTAGTAACGTTTATAATGTGGGGGATAAAAGGCATGTCCTGATCAAAAATAACACCAAGATTTTTAACATTAGAGCTGAAGGACAGATTAATGCTATCCAAGGAGGGTGAAAGACTGAAAAATTTATTACTAAGATGCTCAGGTCCTAAAACTAAAACCTCAGTCTTGTCTGTGTTCAAAAGGAGAAAATTTAGGGTCATCCAGGTTTTTAAGTCTTTAAGACATGCTTGTAGTCTAAGCAGCTGATTGGATTCATTGGGTTTCATGGACAAATAAAACGGTGTATCACCAGGATAACAATTAAAATAAACACCAGTAACTACAAATAATAATCTGGAGAATAGTTTGATGAAGTTAATTTCTGAAAATCAATGTTTTAGCAATTTAAGTTAAATCAATAATTATCCATTTATCTAAAATAAAATTAATTCTTTAGAAAATGATTATTTAGTGTTTTAACCCACACAGAAATTTGGATAGTTTGTTTATTTGATAAATAGTTTACTTTTGGAATTTGGTGAAGGGTTTTATTTGAATTCAACCGGATGATGATGATATTTACCGTATATAACCGAAGGTGGAAAGGTTTTCATGAAGTGCATCAGCTTTAAATGTTTAACTAGATCCAAAATTGCATTGATGACATCACCAGGTCCCTGATGGTTCCTTGCTGGATCAAAGCTGGAAATGGCAGTCAGACCTTTTAGGAGTTTAGAGGCTGGTCTGGCCCCTAACCCTCCATGCAGGGAACAGGTCACAGCTTTGGGGACCCTCAGGGGATCGTGCCAGTTCCTCGTCCAAGTTGACCAGTGGTGAGAGCTCAACAGGGTCAGCTTGTGTCATCTCCAAGCTTTAAAGCAAGTCTTGCAGCGAAACGTTTTATCTTCCCTTTCTCCTTGGAATTAACAAAAATAGTTTCTGAGCAAAACTTGTTTATCTCATGTCCAAGGGCAGTGATTGTGCAGAAACCACCAGATATTATTCAGGTCAAAAGCATCTTTTAAGAAACCAGTTCAGACGGTTCTGAGACAACGGCAGGTTCAGAAACTCAGGAAAGCCCTTCTTCATCCTGAAAGTTTATCGTTTATTAAGATAAGGTGGCATTCATATAACAATGAAGTAGAACTTTAAAAGGCAGCATTTTCACTCATACGGGTTGAAACACACATCTGTTATTTCTGGGGTTTTAACATGCAAGAAAGTGTTTGTTACTTCGTTTAATTCACAAACCAAAGAGCTCGAAGGACAAATTCATCTCAGAGAAACGGATCAACTGTGCCAAGACTCCGAGCCACTTTGTTCCCAACACGTTCTTGTTAATGTGTGAGCAGCATTTTAAGGTCCGACGCGAGAACGTTGTGCGACTGTCCCGCAGTACCAAGACAAACTCTCCTGCTGGGGTGGGACACAACGAATAGATGTCAAAGTCCATGTTACTACCCAGAGGCAGCCACTGGTCAGAAAACACTCCAGCGTTTATTGGTTGACGTGATGGAGCCTCCACGCTGTGATTGGACCCTTCGGACGCCTACGCTGACCTGGGCAGGTCTGAGAGCAGCTCAGGTAGGTGTGGACTGCTCGAAGACAAAGGGCACGGAGGGGAAAAGAAATCCTCTTGCTGCGGGGGTTAGTGTGCTCTGCTCTGTATCAACTTACACAATACGAGCACCAAATGGCGCCCAACTCGCAGCAGTTTACCAAGAGGCGGAGGACGTTACCTGCACCGTTGTTTCCTGTCTCTGAACGGACTCGTCTGGGTCCAAGAGGCTCCTCTCACTTCCTGCTTCTTCTCATACAGTGGTAATTGGTGGGAGTGGGCGTGTGTGCATCTGGTGTAATAACTCTCCCCCACCCATCCAACTAGAACCCTCCTCTTGGTCTGCCCAACCCCCCACCCTGTTGAAAGCTCATTAACAGACCTGCTGTTAATGAGCTAGTGGGATCACAAAACTTCATTTTCATTAAAAGAGGCGGGGTTAAGGCCAGAGATGCTGGCGTAGATGTTTTTATGCCCTTAAAACGGAGTCAGCAATTATCTCAGCCCCTTGATACTCCCCACCCACCTTGTTCACATGACCACAAACAATAAAGCAAAACTCAGGCGTTCCCTCCGATAGAGTATCCTGAGAAATCCAGGCCACCGCTGTCTCATCACTGCATTTGGATTAAGTTAGACACATTGACGTGATTACGCTCACACCCCGGATGAATTGTAACGTTCTGAGAAGAAAGTAACATCAGAAGGATGTAAACAAGGAATGAGGGTCCCTCATCCAAACACATTAAAAATTGAAAAAGTCAGCGTGGTCCGCGGAGAAACAACTCACAACAACCCGGTGAGAAGAAGTTAAAAATAGCTGCGAAGGCCTCGAAGGCTCCAAATTAATAAAACATTCACACAAAACATCCAAACAAAGAGTGGAAAAGACGTGCAGCTGCACAGAACTTTACCTCAATTGTGTTTATTGAGGTTTCATTTCATGTGAAACGATTCATAACAAAATGATAATTTTACACAGGAGTCAAGCAGCATAGCTTCAGTTTTCAGCATCAGAAGAAACACGAACATGTAACAGAAGCAGGCAGATAATATCACCAAGGACCAGCTACACACACATCTCATCCCTGAACAGTTTGACTGCATCCACTCATTACCCACTTCTATACACAGAAACGACTGACCTGAACACAACGAAGATCAGAAAGTTTTCACAGTAAAGATTAAAAAACAAAAAGTGGACAATCTACTTAAAGTTTTAACTCTAAAATGAGCAGATTGTAAGAAAGATTAAATCCTCGTCGATCACATGATTTGCCAGAAAATCATGACCAGTGTGGAGTAAAAAAAAGACAAGAGGTTGAAGTGGAAGCAACAGATTTTTTACCTGATTTGCATCAACACACACACACACACACACACACCTTAACGCTCACACAACACGCTCACCCAAGTGCTGGTTTGGCGGCGTCTCGACAAACGGCCGCACCGGTCTACCCTGTTAGTTCAGCGGTGAAGAATCACCACCGTGCAGCATCCATGATTTAGGAAGGAGTCAAAGACGGGCAACAACAATAAAACACGCTTTAAAAAAATGTAAACAAACAAAAAAAAAAAAAAAAAAAGAAGAAGAAGGGAGGAAAAATAAAATGAAAAGTACACAGTCGTTTCACGAGACGGTAAAATTGCTGGCTTTTATGCATAGAAACAAATGACACAGAACATCAGTAGGTGAGACTTTAAAGTCTCCATATTCACATGTATAAAACGAAAGGAAAGAAAAGAGCAGAAAGTTGTTCATGTTTACAGGAGCGCCACCTCGCTCGGCCCCCGTGAGCCTTGTAAACATTAAGTGACAAGTGTTGTGACAACCAAGCTCCTTAAAAAAAAAAAAAAAAAAAAAAAAAGAGGAGCGTGACGAGCTGCAGGCGGACAGTGTTTGGATTCACTTGAGCCCTGCGTCGGTTCACAAGTCTTTAAAAGGTCTTCTCACAAGAAAACAGCTATAGGTAGCACAATATGACGTTCTGCAGGAGCTGAATATATTAACGTTGCTCTATTGCTAGGCGTTATTTTGTTTACCGTGGATTATTAAGTAATGTCCGCTTGGATCCGTCCAGTGGGTCACCAGGGGCACAACTGCAAGTCTTTTGCATCCTGCGCTGCAACATGGTGATCGGTTTCCTGTGTCGTGTGGCGGCGCACTTCCTGTTCATGAGCTATGGTAATCTCCCTGCTGAATGTCACGGCCTTGTTTTTCTCTGTGGTCTGAGCGAACTGTAGGCACTTAGCTCCAACCAGCAGCTTTGCATATGGCAGCTGTAGCCGCCGCGCAGGGCAGTGAGGCTCCCTGCTGCCGTGACCAAGTGCTGCAGCTTCTTTTAACGTCTATTTGCATGGAGCGGTTAAACAGAGTTAAGTGCCGCTTGTTCCTCTCTCAGAGAGTAGAAGTTAAAGCCTCTGCGTTGCCGTCGTGTGGAAGATCTTCAGCTGCAGCTGGACTGCGCTCCACGTACTGTGTGTGACTTTGCTCCTCTTCCACCTCCATGCTTTCCACCACGTCGCTCCTCACTTTGCTCTCCACGTCCAAACTGCTTTCGTCCACTTCTATTTTCACCACCACCGCTTCTTCTTTGACTCTTAAAGCAGCTAAAGTGTCCGCGGCGCTGGCCTGTGCGTACGCTCCCACGCTGGCGTGGCTCAGGCCGTGAGCCTTCTTCAGATGTTTCTCCAGGGTGGCGTAGACCGTGAAGGGGACGGAACACAGCTGGCACAGGAAAGAAGCCTTTGCTCCCTGGGCACCGTGGGTCTTCATGTGGCGCGTGAGCTTTGAGCTCTGAGCGCAGGCGTAGTTGCAGAGGCCGCAGCGGTACGGCCGCTCGCCCGTGTGGCTGCGGCGGTGCACGGTCAGGTTGCTGCTGTTCCTGAACTGTTTGCCGCAGAACTCGCAGGCCTCGTCCTTCTTCTTCTTTCCAGTGGAACCAGGAGCTGCGCCACCGTTAGCTCCGGGGTTAGCAGCTCCCCCTGCTGCGCTCCTCTGCCACTCCTGCACCGTCTCGCTGACTTTAGCGGGAGTCCACTCCTCTCCTCTTTCGTTCTCCCACTCTCCGACTCCTCGCGTCCTGTCGCCCGCCTCTGGACGTTTGGGAGTGCAGTTGCCACTCGCGATGCCGCTTTCGCCGCTGCCTCCCGTCTCGCCGCTCTCCAACGAGCCGTCTGAAGGACTGGCACAAGGCAGGGAAGGCTGGGGCTCCCCTTGCCCCTCTACTTCCTCCTCGCCTCCCTCTGCTCCAGCTCGGTGGCTCTGGTAGAGCCTGAGCAGCTCCCTGTCTGATGGTCTGAGCTGGGAGCTCAGCAGCATTAGCCCTGAAGCTAAGGAGGGGTGCTTGGGGAGGGTCAGGTCCAGCTCAGAGGAGCCCTGAACTCCTTTTCCCATTACTCCTGCAGACTGAAACCTCCCTCTCACCCTCTGCCTCCCAGCGTCCTCCTCCATAGTGATCGTCTCCACCGACTCACACCCACTTCCTCCACTTGCAGCCTGCCGGTGGTGGCTCCTTATGTGACGTGCCAGCTGCCCGCTCTGAGCGAAGGCCTGCCCGCACACTCCGCAGTGGTAGGGTCTCTCGCAAGAGTGAGTCCGGCGGTGGGCGGACAAGGCGCGCAGGGAGAGGAAGTGCTGGTCACAAACCTCGCAGTGGAAGTCCGCCTGGAGGGAACTGGTCTGAGGAAAGGTAGAAGCTGCCGGTGGAGAAGAGGACGGCGACAACATGAGGCCCATGAGGGAGCTACTGATGGCGTTATTCCCTTCAGCGAGCTCTCTGAGCCGCACGGAAAAGTTTATTCCCTGCAGGTTAGCGGCAGAGGAGGCGGCAGGGGCGGAGTGCGTCTGATGAGAACCCCGCTGAAAGGCCGAGGCGAGAGCTTGGCTCAGGTGGCGTGGGTCCAGAACAGCTGCTGCAGGTTTGTTCTCCTCAAGGAGCCCTCTCCCTGCTCCTCTTCCTCCCACGTCCGCGTCTTCCCCCTCGTCCTCTTGATAGAGGCTGAAGGAGTGTGCGTGCTGCGCATGTTGCAGGAGCGTCCATGCGGATGAAAACACACCTTCACACTGCAGGCAGGTGAAAAACGGGGGCTCCTCCGACGCTGCGAACAAAGATGGACGAGGAGGTTTAATAGATGATGGTAAATGTTGCAGTACAAATATGTCAAACATCTTGAGCTCCGTCAAAACCACAGAATAATGTCGACGGAAACTAAGTTATACAGCTGTTAACCTCAGTGAAGTAGTTTTTATTCATTCTTTCTTCATTTAGTTCCTTTTGTTGGTAAACTAATCACTGGTTCTTTAGATGCCATGGGTCATTTTGTTGGTAACTTCAGGTGCAGAGATGTGCTCAGGAGTCCAAACAGCCACAATGACGTGACCCATTATTTCTTATTAGCCTTAAAAAGTGAGATTTTTAGGAGCATAGCTTTCTTGGTAATAATATGAAGATATTTTAATACCAATTAATTTAATACCACTTGAACTTCACTGTTTTTGTTCACTTAAAATAACTGCAACCTTTTATTTTTACTTGTTAATCTCTTCTGCAAACTTTGTTTTTTGTCTTCTAAAAGTTCAACTCCTCAAAAGGTTAATGAACAGCTGAAGTGTAAATATTACAAGAACTTGAAGTAGCTGAAGAAGTCGAAGCATTTCAACTTCTTCAGCTACTTTCACATATTTTATTCAACACTCAGCATTCACGTTTTCTAAACGGGTTTTTTGTTCAGAGCAAGAGAACTGCAGAAACTATGCTCTATGCGTCTGTATACAGATGACAATTATATCTTACGTCTCTAAATTTTTATGTTATGTATAACTACCGTATTTTTCGGACTATAAGACGCACTTAAAATCCTTTAATTTTCTCAAAAATCAATAGTGAGCCTTATAATCAGGTGCATTAATTCTGGTTGTGCTTACTGACCTTGAACTGATTTGATGTGGTTATTGTGAATGAGTTGAATAAAGTTTGACTTATCTGTTTTGTTTCACTTAATGCGCCTTATAGTCCGAAAAACACGGTAAAATTTTCAAAAATATTTAGTTTTAAAGAGCGAGCAAACAAAACAAACTGCACAAAATTATAATAAAAAAAAAAAAAACAGCTTTCAGAACAGCTACAGGAGCCGCCCCAATGTGGCTTCTGAAAGATCTGCAACTTTTTAAAACATTCATATTGGCTTTACATTTCGGACCAGGAGGATCATGTTTTTACTTCGAGTCTGACCAGGAACTGTGCAGAACACGTGTCTGCTCACTCAGACATTTCTTTAAAACTTTAATCTTTTGGTGCAGAATCCCAAAAATTAATATCATGCAGAAAAAAGAAAAACAACTCCACTTCTGTGCTGCCTGCAAACAGTTTGTCTCCACCCGAGTGTAGTCAGGCTCCAACAAGGTGAGGACTTAAAAACATAGAGTGTACTTCATGACTCACGAGAGCAAAGTGAAACTGACGAACTGAGAAATACTGTGGTTTTATAAGGTCAACCACATTCACAAACCAGCAGGAAGAAGACCCCCTATTTATATCAAACCTCTTTATTTTAGCATCTTTTGCCCAATGACAGCCCACAGAGGCACTGTACTCTGAGCGGAGCGATGAAGGACGTGGCCCAAACGAGGACAGAAACAAGTGAAAAAGGTGTGAAGAACGGCATGAACGACAGAAGAAAGAAAATTGGTCACAAAAAAAAAAAAAAAGAAAAAGAACAGCGTTGCAAAATAAATCCGGAGATATTTTTAAACGTGGATAGCTTTGTCTCCTAACCGAGAGCCGCTCTCCAATTAAGCTGCAAATTGCTAATTAGCAGAACGAAGAAAACGAACGCTTTATGTAAATCAGGCTCTGACTCAGCCCGCTTGACAAACGAGGCCTTTCTGCATAAATCACAACTGGAGAGAAGATCCCCAAAACGAAGGGAAAACTGTTTTATACACTTCTCTCTCTTTTTTTTTTTTTTTTTTTTTGGAGAGGTTCAAAGCCGACTCTGGTATAAGCCTCTTTCATGTTTCCTCAAGTCAAATCCTTCTGTATTTTATTGGAATAAGTGGGGGAGGGATGGGGGGGAAGGAGGGAGGGAAGATGAAAAAGAGAGCAACTGTTTCTTTCTCTCTTTTTCCCCTTCCCTCTTCGCCCTCCCTCCGTCTGGAGATGAGAAGAGCGGTGGTGTTCGTGTCCTTTAACCTAGCCTGAGGAGAAACCCAGAAGTTTAGATACTCGTGGTTAAAAAAAAAAAAAAAAAAAAAAAAAAAGAGGAAGAGGAAAAAGATGAAGAGCGATAGGTAGGTCAGGGCTCGGGAGATAAAACTAAAGAGAGATAAAAAGATTGTAACGCAGCGTGAGGGAGGGCCAAGAGACACCACGGAAATATGTCACCCTTCAAATTGTACTCCAGACCCATCCTCCAACCCCGACTCACCCCCACACAACACACCAAATCTTCCCCCAAGGGTGACGAAGGAAGGGGAGGAGGTTTTTTTTTTTTTGTCTCGGGGTCCTGGAGAGAAACAATACCCAGCCGGTTTCTCTTTCCTTCACTCGCTCCTCTTTTTTTTGTGTAAGGATTCCCATTTGGCCCAGGGTAGCACTTGAATATTAAGCAGAAGCAATAACTACTAATTAAAAATGCAGATTGGCTGGGAGCGCTAACGAGCAGCAGGCAGAATCTCTTCTCCCCTGGGAGGCGGAGGGAGGAGAGAAGAGAGGAAGAAGAGGAGAAAGAGGGCAAAGTGTGCTGAAGATGCGGGGGAAGAAATGGGCGTCAGATGAGAAGAAGAAAAAACAAACAAGGAGAATAAATAAAGAGGAAGAGACAGATGCACGTGGCTCTTCAGTAATCCATCCCCTCCTCCGTCCTCAACAGTTTTTTTTTTTATGGTAGAAAATAGACGGCGGGCTGGTGCGCTGTGGGCGAACACTCTTTCACTTTCAGTCATTTTTTTAACACATCTGAACCTCCGGAGCAGCAAGTCTTTCCTTTTTAAACCTGCAACGAAAGTTCTGCCCCGACCGAGCAGAGAGACGCTTCAAACGTTCATTTAAAACAAACTTCTGCATTATTCACACGGTCCTCCCCTCCTCCGTCTCGTGCTGTTGTACAATGTGGGCAGAGAATTACTAAACCGCTCGCCTGTCTCGCTGCAAGTGAGAGGCAGAGACGAAAAAACTGAAGTTGTGGACAAACGGAAACGGTGCATGCATGCGTCCTGCGAGCGTTGAGACAAAGGAAGGAACTGCAGGCGTGTTTCGTGACAGACATGTGCTCACGGGTGCCGGTCGTACCTGCCGTGTGGCAGACTTTTCAGCAACCAGCGTGTCTGACCTGCGCGGGAAAACCAAATCAGCTCTCCGTCTCACAGTTTCATCAACGAGCCAGGGGTTTGTGATCCGCGTCACCGTGACATTTTAACTTGGCGTCGCGGCGCCCCGAGTCTCGTTTTCGCTCGTCTTCTCTAAAGCAAACTGGAAAAGTGTGAAGAAGAAATAAAAACACCTTCAGGGATAAATTGGTGCTTAATGTTTGACGCTTTCAGACAAACAAGTCGGTATGAAAACAAGTGGAAGTTAAAGGGGAGGAACGATGGGGGGGGGGGAGCAGGAGGAGAGTCCCAGGAGTTCAGGCGGCTCGGGGCAGAACTGAGGGACACGGTGGAGGAGATGAAGATGATGCAACGTCCCGAGATACGGTGTCACAGCGGCCAGGAGGACTGACAGATCTGTTCCACGCTGCACACCTCAACTTAACAGAAGACCCGGTGAGTTTGGAGGCGGCGGTTTGAGCCTCTGCTGTCCGGGCTGCTGCGCAGGGCGGGCAGGAAGCAACATGTTTACCTGGCCACCCCACCTCAGAGACTGACAGCCAGGGAGATGAGACGGAGCTCAGGTGTTCTGCTCGGCGCCCTCGGGGACCGTCGTGCCCGCTGAATGTTCCTGACGCCTGTCCTCCGCCACACAATTAGGCCGAGCGTCACTAACTCGTGCGACTCTGCTAATGGCAACGGCTAGTTAATGAGCTGGACTCGAGAGGAAGGAGGAGCGATTGTTAAATAAAGACGAGGGTGGATAAAAACTAAAAACAACAGTCACTCAGCAGCAGCCTGCCACCTTGTTGTGCCTCCTTCATGCCCTTACCTGGTTTGCTCATGCCAGGCTCCTCCCCCCAGACTCGGTCCCTGGCTCCGCCCCTCCGCAGCTCGATGAATCCAGGTCGTGGTTCGGCGCCGGCGACCTGTTGGCGCCTGGCTCTGTTGGCAGGCGAGGGGGGAGCGGCGCCGGCGTCGGCAGCTCCGTCTCGTGAGCCGCAGCCGCCCTGTTTGTGCTGAATGAAGGCCAGGATGTGGGCGAGCGGGAAGGCCCGGCTGCACTGGCCGCAGGTCAGCAGGTCGCGACCTTCATCTGGGGCGGGAAGCTGAGGAGGACGAAGGTGGTCGCCTGATAAGCCGCCACCGTCCTCCATATCTGTCACATCTACAGGGACAAAAAGAAGAGCTCCGATTAATATCAGTTAGACGAGGCAGCCATCTTGAGTTAAATCAGCTGCAGATGTACATCCAGTGACTACTTCCTGGAACCATTCAAATCCATCCAGTGTTTCATGAGATATTTTGCTAACAGACTAAATGGATGAACACCAACTGTGTGGGTTTTAGGCAAAGATCTTGTGGAATGAGCATTAAAGTCTGTCTCACTCCAGACTTTAGCTCAATCTTTAAAACCGTCTGATATTATTAATGTGCTCCCTGAGGGCCAGCTGGCTGTGGCGGCCATGTTGAATTGGAACGGCTCCAATTGTTCATCAGATGCAGACGTTCGTCCACTGATGGTTTCCTGAAAGGTTCATCAGAACCTGTCCAGTGGTTCATGACATCCTTGGCCAAACACATGCACATTTTTCCACCTTCAGTGTCAGCGATTAGAAAAAAAAAATCACCTGAAGAGTCGAATCACTTCTGTCCAAGATGGAGGAGGATTATTTTAACTTCTTCGACGTTCTGTTACCTGGTTCTGGTGTGGTGGCAACGACAACACTTTAAAGTAAACATTTTATGCCATAAAACAATTACATTTTCAAATTCAAAATAAGAAATTGTTCAAAATGTCATTCCAGTGAAAATAAAAATCAACTGATCAGAGCTTCATGCACAAGAAAAAAAAAATCTAAATAAAAAAGTGTTTTATTTGAACTCTGGTTTGTCAAACACAAAGGTTTGTAATGATCCTGGTGAAGACTCGCAGTCGTCCAGGGTGAATCCAAAAAAGTTAAACACAAAAGAACAACTGGACTTCTGTTCTGGAGCTGAAGACGTTTCGCTTCTCATCCGAGGAGCTTTCTCAGTTGTATTCACATTCAGGGCTGTCACGAGAACAAATTTTGCTGGGCGATTAATCGCGATAAATGATAATATTGTTTGAAATTTGACAATAATTAGTAATTAATGTCAAATTTAAGAAGAAACGTTTAATTTGTTTTGAGGGTAGTACCTTTTTTCAACCACCGGATGGCAGTATAAGACTGTTACCTGTTGTTCTGTCTGTACAGCACTTTGGTTGGCCTTGTCGCTGTTTTAAGTGCTCGATAAATAAAGTGGTATGGTATGTTTGAATCGAAGGATGGACAGTGAGGGAGCGAGCAGCGTGTCTCTAAGAAAAATGTGAGGGAGGCCTCGACGTGACATGGGCTGTCTCTCTTTCCTTTTTTTCAGTTCTCAAAATGGCGGACGCTTTATGTGGTTTGAGCTGTTTAGCATAGCATTTTTCACACAAAACTTTTAATTAAAAAAAAAATCAGTAAAGTTCTCAGCTTCTTTTTGCAGAAAAAAACTACTTTTTACACGAAGGCACAGGTTTCAACCGTGAATTTGACAAGACGGAGGTTTTTTCCCCGAGGTTGGCCTGTTAGCTTAGCTCGTAGCTTAGCGTCTCAGCTTAGCTGCTTTTAACGATCCAAAAACGTGATTTTGGACGATTAAAACGGATTTTAAAGAGAAAGGGAGGGGTCAGTGAAGAGCACCGGAGTTGAGTCTTTTGTTTGTCATCCAGTGTCTTCAGTAGAAAGAGAGAGACAAGAAGAAACGATAGAGACGATAAATGAAAATGAGGTTGATAATGTTAATTTAACATGTGATTGATTTATTGCGACAGGCCTACTCGCATTCAATGTAGACTTTAGGAAGATCGTCAGATGAGAAGCGAAACGTCTTCAGCTACAGAACAGAAGTTCAGCTGTTTTTGTTTTGAACCTTGTTTTGGGCTTGTAATGATCATCTTTGGCCAGTCTTGGATTGCTTAGGGGTAAAAATCATGAAATACTTCTATTTAAATCAGATGATTTTGCCCTATAGCCTCTTTGTTGTGTTATGTTGTTTATTTGTTATATACAGGTTAACACAAGGTCAACAATGCAATGAAATGCTCAGGATGAGAAGAACAGATTCGACTCGCTAAAAACAAAAAAACAAACAAACAAAAAAATACTGAAAGCATGCAATAAGGGTACAAAATAAAGTACCAAAAAGTATAATATTTACAAAGTCCAAAACAAATATAGTAAACAACAACAACAACAAGGTAGCACAGGGTTATTCTACTAGTGGCCCGGGGGTCAAATCAGGCCCACAGGTGTGCTCAGTTCGGCCCATCAATGGGTTCATTTTTTTATTAAACTAGATTTTAAACCATAAAACTAACTTGCTTAATGACAATAACTACTGGATGTCCGGCCCCTGAGCTCTTGGCTTTCAGTAACTGTGGCCCCCTGAGCAGTTTAGTTGACTAGCCCTGTGGTGGAATAGAACAGTGCAGGTAGGATTTTATCAAGTGTCAAAGTTAATAATAATAATAATAATAACAATAATTTTAGGCCGTTTCTCTGAAGCACTAGTTCTGCGGTAATTAAAAACACACACATCCACGTGTGTGAACTCAGCAGGAAAGATGAGCATCGCTCATCTGGCTCTCAGTTTAGAACCTTTGGAGCCAACGAGCTGAGCTCAAACAGTTGTTGACCTCAATGGAAAGAACAAACCGGCCCCTGATTGAAAGTGCTAGTTTCGCTCAACGAGGCCAACGTGCTCACGCTGACCACTTCCTTTAAGCAGTCACAGATCTGATCGCTCTGGGTGCACGACGGGGCTGCAGGGTGCACAGCGGTCCAGCTCAGCACCAACCTGTCAGCATCCGGCTATGACTGAAACAGATCTCCACCGAGGCGTTCACCTTTCACTTAGAACAGCCGCCAGCAGAGGGGAGTTCCTGAACAGGAAGTTGTTCTGAAGAGACAGAAAACCAGTGAAGGTGGAAGAGATAAGACCAGAACCTTGTGAGTCTCATCTGATCCAAACACGAGCAGAGCAACCTCATGTGGTTTGCAGCCTCAAGTTCAAGCTACAGTTTGGTGCAAAGCAGCCAGAGCAGGTAGGAGGGAGGAGCAAGGAGGAGGAGGTGGAGGTGGGGGGGTCAGAAGTCTGTTGCAACACGGTCACGGGCACACCTTGATCCCTGCTGGATCCACCTGCCCAGTATCAGGACAGGACAGGTACAGACAGTACAGTCTGAAGTCGGATCTCACCAGTTGCTGCTCAAAAATGTCACCTTTCCTGTTTCAGGCCTGCGCTGTTTGTGCAGACTTGCAAGGCGCGGTGCGCGCGCGCACACACACGCGGTTGAGTCAGGGCCTGTGGTCACACCAGACACGCACCACTGGTCTCCAGTGAAGAGCTGTTTAAAACAAAAACTGAATCCGTTTAACCCACAGCCCCTCGTTGCTTTTCAGAGTTTCTTATAATCCCAAAACTAATCAAGGGTCCATCTTTACCTGAGATTACCGGATTATTTAATTATTTAATTATTTAATTGGCCATCATTAAAAAAAAAAGCATGAAATGACGCAGCAGTTTGTTGTTTTAAAGAAAGAAATGCCTTTTTTATATATATACCGAACAAATACATAAATAAAATTAACAAATAATCTTAATCTGTCTCCAACCTGAGAATATTAATAATCGTGTTTGGACCTGTCAGAGCAAAGCGGGCCAAAATAAACCGGTCCTTCCTCTCCGGGAACTGCAACAATGCATGAGGACAAACAACACGGACATCATGAGACAGTGTCCCTCTGCTCCAACACACCTGCTTTAAATTCAGGATTAGACCGAGCAGGACTGATTAAAACTCAGGTGTGCTGGAGCAGGTGAGCAGTCCTCGTGGACCAGGACTGGACAGAGTCTGTAAACCTGAGACACTTTGGGGAAGTGTCCTCTGAAACAACCAGTTGTCCACTTGGTTATGTCTCAGAACATGGACAAAAACCCGGACCTGCGTCTCAGTTGGACCTCCCATCAGCCCCCCGCTCCCTTCATATCTGGTTTACCTTGAATTGCGCTCAGGTGCTGCGGTCGGCTTCCAAGTTTGCGCCTGGACATCGCGTCGAGCGGACTTTGGGCCCCTTCGTCGAACCGAGCCCAGCCCAGCTGCTCCTTCCGTCTCCGATAAGTTGACGGACAGACACTCGGGCGGCGGGGACGGACTGATAAGACTGCCTGGACTCGCACTGAGGAGGAGGAGGCGTTCAAGTTCACGCTTCTTACCCCCCGCGCGCGCAGGAGGGCAGAGAAGGGGGCATGGGCGAGCGACAAGCACCGCCCGCCCCGCCGACCCTGAACTCCGCCTCCTTCGACTAACGCACCAGCTCCTATCAGGTTAAAGTAGCTGCAGAACATTTTTGATGTAAACTGGTTGAACTCGTGTTTTCAGGGCTGCTGGTCAGAACCGTCGTCTAGTTCCTCCTCAGCAGCGCAGAGGAACTACCGCACAGGTTCTCCACAGGTGTTTCCAAACCAAACCGGAACCAGGCCGCCGTTCACTTCTGCTTTTCCTTCCTCACCAGCTGTGGCTCCTACAGCTTCATTCAAATGCAGAAACTCAGGTGAATTTATTTCGAAGTCCTGGAAACCTTTAAAACTGGCGGCTGTTCTGTGCTGGTGTTTGTCGCCACCTGGTGGTGAAACTTAGTACTGCGCCCAATGTAAGGATTCGTGGATCTTGTCATTCGCGCACCATGTGGTACATGTGGTGGAACGAAAACTAAAGCTCTATCACTCAAAATGACACATGTTCTAGACCCTGTTTACGCATGTTTTTGGGGCAGTTCATTTACAAGACAGCTCTTGATCTCTGAAACAGAAAGTTTTTGAATCCTGGTCTCAGTGATTTTCGGGGGAATGTCCCACGGACATGTTCAATACACCCCATATGTGAAATTGCACATTTACAGTCCAGGCGGCTGCAGTTAGGTTTATCTCATAACGGTTATAAGAAATAGAGCATTTTTGGTGCTTTTCGCCCTTTTATAAGCATGTAGGAGCAAAACCCGAGGTCTAAAGGGACATTCTTATATTCACTAGTTTGGAAGGAACTGATCATGAAGACAGTGCATGTGTGATGCATGCAACGGAGCTTCAGGGTTACCAGATAAATATGAAACTTTTTTTCTTTATCCCCTCCTTTTCCGTGCATGTTCACCAAACACCCTCAGCACACATGACAGTTTGGGTCAAAATACAATCATTTGAAAGTGACAGTACTTAATTATTTCTTATCTGGCAACCCTGCCTGGCATGGAAACTAGTTTTCATGTAAACCAAATCAAAATTTACTGTAATCAGTTTTAAAACCATGATGATAAACCCTGCCAGGCTGTTAGCAAAATATCACTAAAACCACAGGTTGGATTTTGTTAAAATATTTCAAAAGCTCATCATTAGATGTTGACAACTAATCTTGTAAAGTCAACTCCAAATCAAGATGGCCACCAACTTATTTTAGAAAACAGATATTTTTGCATACATCAGGTTAAAAGTTGAAAAGGTAGTAGCTGAGCATCAAGTGCACTGAGTAACATCTCCATTTAAAACTATGACATTAACATTGTTAGCAAAATATCACATGAACTCCTGGGTGGATTTTAGCTTAACTGCCAGAAAGCAACCTAGGATGAACATCTAAAAGATGGACACTGCAGCTGCCGTAGCCCAGTGGTTCCCAACCCCGGTCCCTGAGGAACACCATCCTGAATGTTTCAGTTTCTCTGCTCCAACACGCTTGATTCAGTGATTTAATTACTTCAAGTTCTGCAGAAGCCTGTTAATCATCCATTCAAATCAGGCACGTCAAAAAGCAGAGAAACAAGAAAAACATGAAGGACGGTGTTCCTCAAGGCCCACAGCTGGGAACCACTGCTTTAGCCAATACACAACTGTTTACAATTCAGTCAATTTTACAAATATTTGGAGTTAAATTATTGATTTGTGGTGTGGCTGTGTGCGAGTCATCAGGCGTCATCTTGTTACAGACTTGACCAAAAAGGCTACAACTCAGTCCTCTCTTCGTAAGACGATCTTAAGGCTTCGTCATGAAAGGCAGTGAGCATTCCTTCAGTGGTCAGATTTACACAATTGTTCTGTTAAAGTAAAGAATCCAAAACAAAGCTTTATTCCAAAACAAGTTTTATTTTTTTCTGTATTTCACATTCCACATTAGAGAAAACAGTTCTGCTCTTGGCCAGCTGAGGACAGAGTACAAAAAGAGCAATAAACAGCTGATTAAATGCAGACTAAATCCTCATCTGCACAGTGGTTTTAATTATTTATACCTATTTGAAGAATAAATGAGCCTTGTTCAAACAATTCGTACTTTTGGTATTTCCTGTTACAGAAATGTAAATAGTGTGGGGGCATTGTGTTGGGAAGAGAAGGTGAAGTTCAGGTGTTGCTTTAGTTTTTCACACTTTGACGATGAACTAGCTCCCAAGAACGTGACCACAGAGGGAAGAGGGAACATGCAGAGGTGAAGAAAATGAGCATTTTATCAGAGAAGCTGAAATAAAAAGAGCAGCTTGAAGAAATCTTCTCTAATTATTGGATCACAGTCGATGTTTACTGTTTACACAGTCCGTCTTTATGTTTTTGTGTAAGAGGCTCCAGCTGGACAGTGTCGCCGCTGATGAAAAGTCAACTAAAGGTTCTGTAAGACACGACGCATTTTCCACTTCTTACGTCAGTATCTGGAATATGGACTCCGTGATCGAGATCGTGACCTTCTGCAAAGACACAAAACGAAAACCTCAGGAGCCGGCCAACAACAAATGAAAAGTATAACCGTAACGAGACCAGAAAGTACACATTACTGCGATACATTGAAGTATTTTCACATACATTCGATGAGATGACGTGTTAGCAGTACAACGAGGTAAACTCAGCAAAGTGATGAGATACAGTTCATGTGCGCATGACGCTTCGACTAAAGATGACAAACGTCAGACCGACAGTGGAAAGGCTGCTTATGCTGGACAGGCTGGTTTGAGTACTTTTGTAACTTTATATGAGGGATTTTTTTATTTTTAGCTTAACAAAAGAGAAACCATCTGGTGAGCGGTACATCAACGAACAAAATCCAGAGCTTTAGCCACGTTCGAAAGAAACAAACAAAAAAATCAAAAACAAAAAATTTTTAAAACTGTAGCAAATAATCCTCTCAGACTGACACGTCGTCACGTAATATAAACTCCAACAGACTCCAACAGAACAGTCCGGTTCTAATAATCATCTGAGAGGACAAACGCTTAAAAAACCTGCTCAAACCGGGCGTTCAATTTAAACTTTGGCTGCAGCAGCTCTTTGTCTCGAGTCAACCATCCAGACTGGCAGATGGAGCTCAGCCTAGACTTCTAAAACGTCTACACCAAGTCTGCAGCCTGATCCGAGGAGGAATGGAAAACTAGATAACAGCTTGGCGTTTCATGAACAAATGAATTTTACTCTCGCAACGTTGGGCCACTGAACCCTCTGCGCCTCTAGAGAAAGCCAGAGTCGAAGTGCTGGCCGAGTTTGTGTAACATGAAAAGACGATTCACTGGGCTTCATTGGAACTGTAAGGATTCCTGCGGCTTCTTACATACCTTTTGTATGAGTTGGATTCTCGGCCTGAGGGACAGAGGAAACAGAGCCACAATAAAAACAAGCGCATGCCTTAACATCTTAAAGCCAATAAAACTGACAGCTGAAACTGACGGCAGCAAATCAAACGGAGCTTCAGCTGGTGAAATATGTCTGCTATGACGATGGACGACTCTACTGTAAATAAACGCACGCTCACCAAACCAAATGAGTTTGTGATGGAAAACCTTCTGTCTTACTGTATTTGGAGGGAGAAGGTGAGTGGCTCTGTCGGCCATACTGCTTTTCCCATTCGTCCCGCTCCTTCTCGCGCCGTTCTCGTTCCCTAAACACAGAACCTGTAAGTCCAACAGCTGCAGCTCACAAACACCAGACGGTCCACTTCAACGACTTACTTCATACGGATTTTGCGTGCCATGGCTCGTAGCTCTCCTTCTCGCTCCTGTAAAATAAAACAAAAAGAATGAGAGGGGGGGGGGCTGGTGGGGGATGAAGGATGAGAGCGCTTCTGTTTCGGCAATACTTTACACACACCTGCCGCTTGTGCTCCTGCTGCTGGATCTTCACCTGAGCAGCTTTCTTATCCGCCTTGGCTGCAGGTTGAACCAATAAAACATGGAGTTAAGAGGGAAACATTTCCAACTCCTTATTTAGCATAAAACATCAAATACAGTTCAGAATGTTCACATTTAATGTGACGGTTCACATCTTTTGAAGTGGGGTTTTGTGGACAGGTTATAAAGAGTAAGTATCTTACCTGTTGTAGATAAAGCCTTGAACAACCTCGGTTTGGAAAAAATAAGTTATTTCTGACCAGACTGATGAGCTAACAGCTAGCCTGAGAGGAACTGAGACCAAAGTGGATGGCTGTTATCCTAAAAGTTTCATAGCAGTTCATCCAAAAGCACTTTTCATCACCGTGACGTAGCTGTAAGTCTCGTGTTACATGTGAGCTTTATTATGATGCTCCTGCACGACGTACCCCAGGCTGCACAAGAAGTGTTACAGCTAGCTGCTGCTGCCTCCAGGTATGCTTACAAAGAACCAAATGATTTAATGTAAAGAGTTGTGTAATGCTAAACTGATTATGCAAATGTTTATAAAGTAACGTTAACAGCTATGACATTATCAAAATTGTAATTAGGCCTGTCGCGATAAACAATAAATCAATTAATCGCACGATGAATTAAAATTATCAACCTCATTTTTATTTACTGGCTTTATCGTTTCTTCTTGTCTCTCTCTTTCTTCTGAAGACACTGGATGACAAAAGGCTCAACTCCGGCGCTCTTCACTGACCCCTCCCCTTCTCTTTAAAATCTGTTTTAACTGTCAAAAATCGTGTTTTTGGATCGTTAAAAGCAGCTAAGCTGAGGAGCTAAGCTAACAGGTCGACCTCGGGAATAAACCTCCGTCTTGTCGAAAAATTCACGGTTGAAACCCGTGCCTTCGGGCAAAGTTGTTTTTCTCTGCAAAAAGAAGCTGAGAACTTGTTTACTGATTTTTTTTATTAAACGCTGTGTGTGAAAAATGCTATGCTAAAGAGATCAAACCACACCTGTATCCGCCATGCCACCATGTCAGCACATGTCACGTCAAAGGGCCCGCCCTCCTATTTTTCTTAAAGAGACACGCTGCTAAACTATCCATCCTTTGGTTCAGTCTTATACTGCCATCAGGTGGTCAAAAAGGGTAATACACCCAAAACAAATCAAAATTTCTTTTAAAATTTGACAATTATTGTTAAATTTCAAACAATATTATCGTTTATCGCAATAATTTCTGGGACAATTAATCGCCCAGCAAAATTTGTTATTGTGACAGGCCTAACTGTAATAGCTTCAAAACGAGCTGCAGTTAATTTTATCTAGCCTGTTAGCTTATTATGGTAAGAAAGAAACTAATCAAACCTGAGGTTGTTCAAAGGGTGATCTACATTAAGTAAGGCATTATTTGTTCATAACTTTTCCACAAAACCCCACTTCAAAAAAAAAAAAAAAACCTGAACTGCCTCTTTAAGGCCTGTGCAGTTTGTTGCATTCAGGGACACTCACACTGCTTGTTGAGCGCTTTCTGCATTCGGAGCTTCAGCCGCTCCTGAGGCGTCAGCTTGGGCTGCAAGTGACAGAAATGTTTTAGCACGAGCTTCCAGAGCCCGACAGTGTGTTTTGAGTGTGTGTGTGAGTGTGCACGTGCTGAAAAACAAATAGGATACTGTCACCTTTATGTACAGTAGCTGGTGGAGATGAAAAGGCACGGGATAAATTAATTACAAGTGATGTTTGTTGAGTCAACACAAACACTTAGGCTGAGCAGGTTGTGTGTGTGTGTGGAGGGGTGTTGTAAAAACCAGCAGCACGCAGAACTCCAGAACGATGAACACAATGCATTTACACACACACAATAGTGTAATAGGGAGATAAAAGGAAGTAGGACGGCTGAAGGAGGAGAGAGGGTCAGAGAGTGAAACACGAGCAAGTTCAGGTCCAGCAAGTTTAGAGAAGTTCAGAAAGAGCCAGTGGCGCTTGTTGTTTTCTTTTTTTTTCCACGACACACCCATCATTGGGCTGTTCAGACCTGGCCAGGCAAGAAAACTCACAGGTCACAACGCTGCAGGCACACTTAACGCAGAGGAACATCATAACTTCTAGACCATTTGCCTGCTTGACGTTTTTCACACACTGTTCCGTCTTTTCCAGGAAGTCAGTTGAGAACAAAAGTAGGGCCAGTAAAAAATTAAAGTATCTGTGGGTTATACAACCGTCCCAGATACTCCACGCGGTCGTCCATAAGCACAAATCAGACCAGTTCTGCTGATTGTAACACACTTGCAAGCAAATCTTTGCTAAACTTTATTCTTCAGGGAGCGTGTAATATGAATCTTGTTCAAAGAATTTTAACTTTCATATGCATACATACTTGTTACCAAACGTGTTCAAACGTGCAATAAATAAAACCTGATATACATATATTTCCCTAAAAAGGAAAAAAAAATCCCCTTCATCCTATGACCACTGATATGCAACACCATCAGTCTCTAACGTGCTTGTTCAGCATGTATTCACAAACCAGAAACATTATTGATGTAACATTTTTAAAGAGGGTCAGACTATACAACTTATACTGAGATTATAGAACCATCTGAGCTCATTTTCATTATTCGCAAAGATGCTGGTCTTTCAAAGCAGATGTGAAGTTTTAACAGTCGACTACTTCCACTTATAGAGGCGGAAATAATAAAAAATAAATCATTTGAATCTGTGGACAACAGCTTTTATATTCCAGTGTGATGGACAACCATGTCAGCCTGTCAGGGATGAGGGAGGCGTAGGCTTTTAGCAAGAAACCGAGCAGGATCAAATTCTTACTGACTTTGGAGGCTCCCGTCTCTTTACCACCCGCAGTGTCAGGCCTGAGGACAAACGGAGAGGACACACAGATGAGGACATTTTCATTCACAGGCGAGAATTTCAACTCATCTCAACTCTGACGGACAATAAAGCTGCATTACTAGTGGGTAAAGACGTCAAAAACAAACAGTACGCCACTGTCCCCCGTCGCTGAGGGATTTGAACAGTGAACGTTTGTAGTTTTTGACATGAGTGTTTTTCTGGACTGGAACTGAAAACACAAGTAAACCTTAATGTTTTTGGTACAAGATAATCCAGCGGGTAGGAGTTACACTACAGTGTTTTCCCTACCATTATCCAAGGAGGGTGCCCTGCCCTGTCAGCAGAATCAAGCACCCGGTCTGCCAAACCCACACCCCCACGGCAGACTGCGCCGCTCAGACCTAGCATTTGTACTGTACTGTACTGTACTGTATATAATAAAAACTAGAAAGCATAATTTCCTCAAATGATTGGGGTGGTCAGTTTACATATAAATGGTGGTGGCCATATTGGATTATGATGTGGCGACCCATTTCACCTTAGGGAGCTTTCTTACACCTGGAAACAGCAACACGCCAAAATGGAAGTTAGGACCTCACTTATTTCAAGTTATTCAGCTCACAAGATGAACTGGACTTAGGGCTGGACGATATGGCCAAAACTTTTATCACGATATATTTCTTGATTTTGGTCGATAACGATATAAGTCAATATCGATATAAACAATATAAAAGCCTCAGAAAAACTGTACAAATAAATTAATGTTCACCTTTTATTTGTATTTAGCCTTCAAAGAAATTCTGAAATCACCATCAAACTCTCAACTTTGTTGATATTAATAGTTTTAACTTTAAACAACATAACCTAACCCATGCAGCAAACATATCGTGATATACATCTATATCGAATTATTGTCCAGCCCTAACTGGACCAACGGAGGTTTATCCAGTTCCTCTCTTCGCCTTGCGACAGGGAACACTAGCAACAATCAGTTTTCATGGACTAAAGCAACACGTGTGAGTTAATAGCGCGTGAACAGCTGTGTCTAAAGTGACACCACACGCTAAAAACAATTTGTCAACGTCCAAACCGGTCAGTGCTTTTGAGTGTAGACACTTTTCAAAGTGAAGTTTTACTGGTCTTACTTTCTCAGCTTGTCAGAGACGGAGTTGGTAGCAGGCTGGAACCCTCTGTGAGCAGGAGAGGGGCTGTGTTGTTGACGGCTGGGAGAAGGAGAGGGACTGCGGCTGCCACTTTCTTTCCGACGGTACCCCCCACTGCTCCAACCTCTCTGCCTCGAACCACCGCCCTGTCGTGAGCTGGAGCGGGACCTGGCAGAAAGGACAGCAGAGCGTTGGTAACAGATGTTCATTACGCACTAAGAATTGTGATGCGGGGAAATTAATCTGACCGTGTTCGTCTGCGCGCTGAGTATCGTCTCCTGTCCCTGTCTCTATCCCTGTCTTTATCCCTGTCTCTGGCCCGGTCGTTGGACCGTGATCTTGTGCGCTCACGTCTCCTCCAGGATCCTCCTCTACCTCTTGAGCGAGATCTGGAACGCCGTCTGGACCGCGAACGACTACGCGATCGGCGCCCATCTCTTCTCCCGCGTCCCCGTCGGGCACGACGCGAACGGGAAGATGACCGGGAGGAAGACCGAGACGAGGAGCGAGACGAGGATGACGGGGAGCGACTTGAAGACGACCTTCGTCTCCTGAACAAACACAGAAACAAGAGCTTGAGTAATAACACGAGCTTGGCACCTAGCCTACCTTTACAGAACTTCTGTCTCACATCACACATTAAATATAAAGAGCTCGTAATTACACCGTTCCTCTGCACAGTTTCATTGATCCTGCAGCTGTTTCCACTAATATTTTATCTGGTCCGCCTCTCCAACCACAAAAACCTTTCAGTATTCTCTCTGCGTCAACAGCTGTGGTCATGGCAACGTCTAAATGACTGAGCGAGAAAAACGAACCAAAAGAAAAAGTTGAGAAGAGGGAAAGTTACCGACCGGGAGCCCCTGCTATGACCTGCAGAGTGCTGCAAGCTGGAGGGGGCGTGGCCAGCGTGAGGAGCGGCCGTTTGTGTCGCCGCTGCAGCTTCGTCATCGCTGCCTCCGAAGCTGGTGATGAACGTGATCTTCTCAGGACCAGGAGTGCAAGACCGAGACCGGGACCGGGACTCGGAGCTGGATTCTGACTCTGGCCTGGAACAGATGAAAGAAAATCAAAAACCGTGATTCTAGAGAACGTTTAGACACAACTAATCAGAAACCTCCGGACTGACAATGGGTCAGCTCACCGTTTGTAAGGATCGTATGTTGGGCTGTCTCTTCTGGCATAGCTGAAAAACAACAGAATGAGGAAAAAATGATCGTAAAATACGTTTAAACCTCAGAGGATCAGTAAAAAAAAAAAAAACCTAACTTACCTCGGTGGGCTGATCTGTCTCCCTTTTAGTCTTTTTTCTCTAAACTCCCTCCTCTGTCTGCGAGAGCGACGGCCCTGAGACGATCAAAAACAAACATTACAAAGTTGCTATTCCTTTTTTTATAGTTGGTAATTATTTAAATGATTACATCTTACAGAGTACATGGCCCTCTCTGCCTCCAGAGCTTTGGCGTGTTTAATAGCTTCCACTTCCTCCTTGTCTTTCTGCAACATCCTGACAAATAGATCAAATTATAGAATTAAAATAAATATAAAAGGTCAGTAGCATTGGCCACATAAGACTTTAAAACTCGGCGCTGAAGTCCATTCTTACTTTAATTGTGGCTGAAGCTTTACACAAATGCAGAGGTCCTAGTCCACAATAAATTTAAGAATAGTCAGTTTGGTTCCATTTACCTGACAAAGTCTCCTTCGGCCATTCCATAAGGGGTTGCAACTTTGTTTAGGTCCACCAGCTGTTCCTGGTTCAGCTCATCAACATCGACCTCCACATCTGTCCACAAAACATCACGTCTTTCAATAACACATCAAGTTTAACTCAAACATTTACTGATTTGGCACACCGAGTTAGAAAATGTTGTGTTCAGAAATCTCATGGTAAACAAACGTTCGGTAGATTTAATATGACAAAAAACTACAAATTAACCTCAATAAAAAGGAAGTGACAGCCTGTTAATGTGATCTAACATGTCTACAATTTTTAATGTGTTTTTTGTCTTTATTAAATTCAAAGTTTGGACTACTTTGTAAAACAAAATCTAAAAATGTTAAACCAGCTGTTTTCATTTGCATCTATACGTCTTGTCAAGGGAATGTGTATCGTTTGCGCTCCCCATGCTTCATAATTGTTATTTTGAAAGATATTAAAATGTTCCATGATCCTTATTCTATGTAATAATCAGTCTTGGTGTGACCGGTCAGTAAAGGAACAGCAAGAAATAGTTTTTATTATCCTCAAGGTCTGATATGATTACAGTGACGTAAGTTTGGAGAGTCCTTGAGAGCTGCTGGCCTTCCAGATGTCTCCCTGCTTCTGTCTGCAGCTGGATTCTGATGAAGCTGGACAGGGCGGGGCTGGAAGTTTCTACAAAACTGATTGTTTTTTTTCTGTTCAGGAAGTCAGAACGGGTCAGAGCCTCAAACAGGTGAAACCAATGATAAGTGTGAACTTGTGAATTCATTGATCCTTCTGTGATTGCTGGCTGTTCTCCAAAACTTTAATAAATGACAAAACCTACACCTGGTTGTTTTGGGAATCCATTTTTTCCACGACTCTCTATCCTCTAGTGCCAACCTCTACACATGATTTTTCTGTACAAAAGGTTTACATGTCTGAAGGGCCAATTGAAAGACATTTTAACAGAATTGTGGACTAATAACGCATTAGAAAATGCTCCTTTTTTGTATCTGCTGGTATATATTTACATCTCAAACTATTACCAACTTAATTAGGAAAAAAATTGCTCCTGACGTTAGATAAATATAAGACTATCTCAAAGTTACTTTAATAGTATTTTGCAAACCTTCATATATCACAACTAACAAATTATGACTTTTTATTTTGGTTCTTTAAACTCATTTTGTCCTGCTGTGGGACTTTGTTATTGGATGTATCACTGACCAAACCACGTTAGAAATTATTACTGATTAAAACTCATCTTATAAGCAAAGTTTCTTAAAGTTAGTATCTAAAAAAGAAAAGAAAAGCACACAAGAATGAACTCAGAGGTTAAGAGAGCAGATAGGTGATGGAGGGAAACCACACCAAATGTGACTGGTGCATATTAGTCAGTGTTTGTCTCCAGTGGTCCAATCTAACACGTTTTGTCTCTGGAGTTTTAGTTAGCTCATTACTGTCAGTCACTGTTCCTCACCGATATCAGGGATGCCTTCATCCTCCTCAGATTCACTGTTCTCTGAATTATCTTCATCTTTGTCTGACTGGGAGTTAGGCTCCTGCAACGTGCTGTCTTCATAAGTGTAACCGATGGCAACTTTTTTCTCTGCCAGCCTGCACAAATAAAAAATGGTTGGTTTTTTTTAGATGTGCTGGACGAATTATAATACAGGGCAGAGACGCCAACCACTACAGCATTTGCGTACTTCTTCTTCTCCTCCTCGTTAGGTTTGGACAGGCCACCGTAGAGCTCGTCCAGGTAGATCTGGTATAAACACTGCTCCTCTGAGACTAAGAAGACAAAAGGGAGTTAAAGAGCAGAGCACAAATGCAAAATATACTCACAGAGAGCAAGTTAAAACACCAGTTATAGTCACATTAGAGATCTGCGTGTGCAGCATATGAAATGTGCCTCGTTCTTAAGATATTCAGTGACACTCACTGTTGGCATAGTCATTCTGTACCAGACCTCTGTAGCGTTCATAATTGCACTTCCTCTCCTCCAGCTCCTGCTCTGGGGTGCTGTGAGAGACAAGGAGCAGAAGTGTGTGTCACATGTAGCTCTTCAGTGAACGTTTAACACTCGGTGCTGCTGTGTTTCAATAAAACATTTAATGAACTACGAAAGTCTTGCTGGGAAAACTGAGGCTTGATGTTTAGGCGTCTATTAGCAAGACCAGGTGCAGAAAATACACAAAGTCTTTTTTGAAGTTAACAAGGTCAATATTATTTTTAATGCAGCTTTAAACTGCAAACAAAATCATGTTTAGTCATGGAGATTATACTGTGTGGAAGAAATGTTAATAGTTTCACAATATTCATTCATAAACACAATGTATTAAACATAGCAGCAATAGGCATTCACTGTTCTTAAAGGTAATCAGGTTAAAAAGTAATTTGTACACTTACGATGTGCTGAGCAGAGGTGGGGTGTAGGTCGGGATGTAGTCCAGGTGTGCCCTGACATCAAATCTGTCAATCATGTTGTTGGCGTCTCCCTGCCAGGGCATCCTTTCAACGAAAAGAAAAGGAAAAACATTTAAAAAATCAAAGTCTATGCGCTGTGAGAGTCTGTGAAAAGTGATTCTCACATGTTTGCAGGGCTCTCTGCAGCCAGCGCCACAGCAGGATCCAGATGGATCTTGTAGTTTCGGCCGTGAACCTGGAGAAACTGGGCCGGATCTTTTTTCTGTCGAGACAAAATGAGAAATCATTAAAACACAATAAACAACAACAAATTAAATTTAAAAATATAACTAACCAAATATTTGTGTATATCATTCTACAAACTGTATCAACTCCAGTTTTTGGTCAAGCCAGATGAGTAAAATAAGTTTTTCTTTATCGTTTTTAAAGATGCTGAAGGTTAAGTGTTTTCTCACTTCATAAAATCTAAATTAGAGTTAGTCTAGCTGGATTAGGTGGCTGCAAAAGAGCTACATTGTTTCAACAATTATTCTCATGAACTTTTATACACAACGTTTACAAGGGTAGCAAAATGCCTTACTATCTTCTCATAGTACTCTCTCCGGCGCTCACCACGGCGCCTGTAGTCCACCATCATGCCACGGAGCTTGCGCTCGTGTTTGCGGGCCTCCTGCCACATGACGGCACCGCTGGGGGTGGGAGCGCGTCGGGGCACGGCTGCTGCACACAAGAAGAAGAAAACAAACACAAAGAGGAGGGAAAAAAGAGAAAGAACGAGTTAAATGTAGCAAGCAAGCTTTTGTTCTTAGTGATCTTAAAAAGACAAGTTATCTACCGGTTTTGCTGTAGAATGGTTACTTCAGCCAAAACCAAATACTGGAAATAACTTTTGGTCAACCAAAAAACGAACCGCACAGCTGCAATGCTATGTACTGTTCCAAAGTAAATTATATTGTGTTCTCAAATAGTATTAGGAAGAACAATAAATCTAACTTGTAATATAAATATCAACCAAATAATAAATGTTAATGTCAGGAACGTTCAGTTATGGGGCTTTTTTAAAGAAAGTATTGGACTGTGCAGAGTGAACTTCAGACAGATTACTTGACATAAGCACAATGTTTACAGGTAAGAAACTGAATTTTTGGCGTTTAGGTTTTGTTTGGTTTGTCTCACCAAACTTGATCGCGACTAATCTTTCAGATGTTAGTCGCCACAGCTTGTCGTCCTCCATCTCACTCTGTCCTCACTCCAACTACCTCCATGTCCTCTCTAACTGCATCCACACATCTCCTCTTTGTCTTTTTCCTGGCTGCTGCAATTTTAAAAATGTTCTACCAATAGAACATATATTATGATTCACAACTAGTGAGTGCAAACAAAGCTTAGCTGGAAGTCCAGGACACAAAATGTGACTCAAATACAAAAAACGAACAGAAAAACTAAATAATAGTCACATGTTTGTCTTTTGTATTAATTTAAACATACATCTGAACTTTCAATATGCTAAAATAATTGGTAATGATGTGCATCATTTAGCCACTGATATCTAAAAGCAGTAACTCTTAACTTTTTAGTATTAAAATTAAATTCCTGTTCTTTAAACACCACTGGTACTCCTAACAACTTTGTGGTTTTCCTTTTAACTGCAAGACAATGAAAACATTATTAGCTACTTTTTACCCAACTGTTCATAAACAAATAGATAACCCCGGTTATTTACATTATATCTGATCAATTTAAAAATGAACTGCAATCACATTTTTTGTTCCTGAGTTAATCAAATTTAGGATTAAGTAAAAAAAAATAAAATAATCAAATTAAACAAAACCCACGTGCCAACCAAAACAGAAATTTCAGTACCATTACATCATATTAGACATTATGGGATTAATAAAAACGTTTTCTTAAACCTGTGTAATGTTATTTTTCACATACTTGATCAGGATTTTGTAGTTTCTGATGAAAACATGAGAAATTCAGAAGCTAACGTTGCTACTGAATGTCATCGCTGTCAAGCTAGTTTCACTTGTTCATTTAGAGCGCAGTATGCATGTTTTTAGACGAGACTTTATATTAAACATTGTCCTCGTCAAAGTTTACGTGGTGTTTGACACACGGGGCCTGCCTGCGCAAACATGCGGAACTCCGGCCTGTTAGCATGATAGCTACATTAGCTCTTTCTGTGCACAAAACGATTAAAAACAAAGTTTGACTCGCAGCTTCACGACACACACAACACAAAACTGCACAACGCGTATGCATTTCACTCGATACCTGTTTTACTGTCCACAAATATAAACGGGTTAATTCCGGTTAGCCAAATGCTAATGCACCACAGTGACGCCACACGCCTCCTGTTCTTTCAACAGAGCATTAGCATGCAGTACCAGAGACGGCCGCTGGGGGCGCTGCAGGCTGAAATACACAGGACACCAA